GTTGGAACCTCATTTAATTTTATGTCTTATAGAGTTTATAATGAGTAAAAGATTATATAAGCGTAATAAATCATCTGTAAACCTACAAATGTTCACCCAATTTTGAAAGCGATGTACCCTAGCTCAGAAAAATGTTATTGAATAGGTTAATGCTGTTGTAATGAAATGCTTCTTTTAATTAAAAAAAAAAGAATCAAAAAGAGGCATAATTTAATTTCAGTTAAAGATGCTTTCTCTTAAATAACTGCAATAATAATTAAATTTATATATGTCAATAAAACAACAGTCTTTTCAAATGAAAAACTGGAGTTAGCACTTTCCTGATGGTTGTAATACAAATGAATAGGTGACTATTTCTACAAAAAAGAGCAAGGCATACATTAAAAACATGAACCTATACGGGCTGGAGAGATGGTTCAGTGGTTGAGGGCACCTGTTGCCCTTACAGTAGACCTGAGTTCCATTCCCAGCACCCACATGGCAGCTAACAACCACCTGTAACTCCAGTTTCAAAGATCCTGACACCCTCTTTTGCCCTCTCAGGGCATTGTAGATACATGTTGCATTTACATGCATGCAGGCAAAACACATAAAATAAAAATAGATAAATCAAAAAAAGAAAGAAAATGATCTTTTAGCCAGGTGTGGTGACACAAACATTTAATCTCAGCACTCAGAAGGCAGAGGCAGGCTGATTTCTGTGAGATAGACACCAACTTAGTTTACTAAATGAAGTTCCAGGCCAACTAGGGCTACAGGGAGACCCTTTTGCAGAAAAATGAAAGAAGAAAGAAAGAAAGAAAGAAAGAAAGAAAGAAAGAAAGAAAGAAAGAAAGAAAGAAAGAAAGAAAGAAAGAAAGAAAGAAAGTGAAAGAAAGGAAAGAAAGGAGAGAGATGGAAGGAAGGAAGGAAAAGAAAGAACAAAAGAAAGAAAAAAGAGGAAGAGAGGAAAAAAGAAATTGAACTTTTGTTTAAAAATAAAGAATCTTAGCTTATTTTGTGTGTATACATACATGTGTGTTGGTGCAGGTGTAGGTGTGGATGAATGTATGTGAGAGAGACAGAGTATTTGCATATGCATATGTTTATGTGTGTGTGGAGTGTGTTCACGTGTACACTGATGTAGAAGCCAGAAGACAGCCTGAGGTGTTAATTCTTAGATAGTCACCTAATTTTAAGACAAGGTCTCTCATTGGCCTAGAACTTTCCAAGTAGGCTAGACTGGTTGACCACTGAGCCCCAGGGATCCATGCATGTCCTCAGTGCTACAATTACAATGCTTCCCCAGGCACCTCGCTTGTTCACAGGATTTCTGAGGTTAGAACTCAGGTCCTCATGCTTTCAAGACAAACACTTTACCAACTGAGTCATCTACCCAGCCCAGCTCATTATTTTTGTCAAATTCTTCCGATATAATCATGATTTTTTAAAATAAGATTTTGATTAATTCTTGGAAAATTTTATACATTGTAGGCAAGGTATTTTTGTCATATCCATCTCTCAGACCCCCTTCTAGCTCCCACTGGGACCCTCCAAAACAGCATCATGTCCTGTTCTTTGTTTATAAATTGAAAATCCATTGATTTGAATTAGTGATGCCCATGTACATGGCATGGCCCCCTACAATCTCAAACTAAAATGGCTCTCTCTTTCCCAGAAGCAATCAACTTCTAATAACTCCTCAGCTAGAGATGGGGCCTCAGGAGCCTCATCCCATCCATGATGGAATTTCACCTGGCTTGACCTTGTGTGGGTCTTGTGCAGAAAACCACAGTTGCTGTGAATTAATGTGTGCAAATACCAGTTATGTCAAGAAGTCAACATTTCATAGTTCTGCTCCCCAATCACTGTCTCTTACATTCCCCACCTTTTATGCTGTTCCTTGAGCCTTGAATGGGAGGCTGAACACTCAAAATCACCTATTCTCAAGATTTTGATCAGTTACACTTGGCAATTTGTTCTTATAGTTCTAACTAATATTGCAATTGTAAATAAGCTGGTATCAAATGAAAGATTGAAATCCTATACACACTGAGTGTATGTGTCAGCCACACTAGCTTTAAATTTGACTTAGTAAATATGCATTGGGTGTCATAAATAAGCATATGGTAAATGAATGAAGATAATTATCTGACACAAATTATCAAATCTTTCTTCCCACATTGTAAAATAATTCTAATAATTAAAACAAGACAATCATCAACCATATTAAGTGAAATGTAAAATGAACAACTATTTTCTGAAATGTTTATTTTACTTTTATTTTTTCTATTTCCAATATCCAAAAACACTTACACTGTTATATTAGTGGGCTTTTTGTATGTTAGCTTAAGGGAAAATTCCAAATAAGAAGAAAAGCAACAATGAAAATCTCTTAAGAGGGAAGACTCAAAATGAAACTTTATTGTTCTTTCACAACATGTACTATTACCCTGGACCACACAGAGTGATGCTCAAAGCAGCAGTAATGATGTGCTAGTGATACAGGCTCCAGCTTGGGACTGGTTGCCCTGGGCATTACTATTATATATGAGCCAGTGACTTTCATGGAGCCCTCTGTGTCTAAATGCAAAGGCTTAGTAATGAAGATATGATTCACAAATAATTTGAAGATTATTCAAATCCAGGTCTTAAGCAGATAACAATGAGGGTAACTGATTTTCAATCTTTAGCTTATGGTTTAATTTATTAGGAGATTTGGTATCTCAAAAAGCCCCATTCTTTGCAGTTCCCCTACTGACTTATGTTCTTTACAAAAATTCTGAGTGTCAGAAACAAAGCTTATGGTTTTTCTATTTAATTTTCTCTCATTTTTGTTAAACAGTTTCCTGAAATAATTGTTTGCAGTAATTTATTATTCCTTCCCCCAATTAAGGACCAGGCAAAGCTCCTGAAAGCAAACAAGGAACTGCCAAAGTTTCAGCACAAGGTAAGCAATAAAACGTGAAAATTCTGCTTTCTTCTGTCTTAAGTCTATAACATTTTATTGGCAAAAGCAAAACCTGTTTATTGCAGAATAGCACCATCTGCTGGGTTATCACAGAAAACATATTGTTGCAGCTCTAGCCTTAATTATGAGAACATGCACTATGGAGAATAATACCAAATTACGGAGGAAATGCTGAAGGATTCAGAGAGTAGCATCATGGGTCCAAGTTTCATTTATTGAACTTTTATTCAAAATTAGCCATAAACACATGAAAAATATAGACTGAAATTAAATATAAAATTTTCTTATGTTTTTGGTTGTGTCTTATAATTTGTGTCATATTGGAAAATTCAACTGAAATGCTACCAAATAAATATTTTCTAAATGCCAACATTGCAAAAATTGGTTTCCAGATATGATTGGAAAAATTATTATGTTAACTTCATAAACCAATGAAGAAAATTAGTCTCATCACCTACTGCTATCATTAGTGTGTCAAAGGTCAAGCCAGGAGGAATACTTTGACTAAAACATAACAAAGACACAAGTATTCTGCCATTATCACCAATGAAAACCTTAGAGGACACATTTTGAAAATAGAGATAAAATGTTTCTTGGAGAGCATCTCTATTTTCTTTTCTGCACTAGTTTGTGTGGTATTAAGTAAGAAAGGAGAAGTATTTAGACAAGGGTACAATTATTTCTGGGTAGAAGGACCTTGTTGCAGGCTCATTAGCATATGACCTGACATGATATACTGTTGACTGTATTGCATCACCAAAATGCTACTTATGAGGAATGTAAGCTAGAATACTTAAGAGCTATGCAACCAGGTTTAAGTTTGCATGTTGATTACCAGTTCAATAAAATGCTTTCTTCTTTATGAAAGTTTGGTAGAGAACGTAGTAAATATTATTTGAGGTAGGAAAACAAAGTGAATCTGCATGAAAATGCTTATCAGAGTAAATTCCTCAAAAAGTAGCTGCTAGTTAAAGGAGTCATTGTTGTGTGTGCATGGTTTTTTTTTTCTTTATCTGATAAAAATACAGTAACTTTAGGCCTTTCTGTATTGCCCAAGACTTCTGAATACCACTGAGTAAATCTAAATGCACAAGTAGAGGCAGGAATTAATTTTACTTCAGTCTAATATTAAATGAGTTGATGGGGAAAATAGAAGGGATATATGGAAATTCACTTCAATCTTCAGCTCAAGGCTATGGGCACATTGTTTTTTATACTAAAACTACATTGGCAAAGGCAGCTTCTGAATTTTTTAAACATGGAATTTATTATTGAATGAACAGGAGCCTAGTGTCTCTGAGGCCTGGCAGAGCCATGCTGATTAAACACAATGAACAGGAAACACCAGGCACTGAGTGTGTGTGCTCACTTAAATGACAATGGCACACCACAGCTCAAAGCAGCAGAACAGGACTAATTCATTAATGTCAGTAATTGTCATGTGTCATTTGTAGAGCCTCCACGGATATTTCATAAAACAGGTATATAATTAAACTATGTACAGAAATAAGGAAATGATTAATGTTTTCAAGTAATCCATGAGGAGGCAAATTTTACACACAACTGACACTAATGCCATGGGAGACAAATGATTTTGAAGTCATCAAAGTGGTAAATTGACCAAGGTTTGATGAAAAGCTACATTATATCTGTATGTCTACCTATTTGTTTCTTTAATAATTGAAAGCATAGTTTGTTCTTCCTGGATTATTTTAGAAAGGATTAATTTGATCTAGCTATACATGATTTTGCTAATTCTTAAAGGAGTTTTATGTTTCAGAGGGTTTCTATGTAGATTGTGTAAGAAATTATGATTTTCAGCATGTATGCACATCCTTGGCGATCTTTCTGACATGGATCATGGTGTTAGTTACATTGCTCCTTAGAAACAGATGATCTATTTCAAAAAACTTGTTATATGAGGTCTCACTTTTTGCCCAGGCTGTCCTGGACTCATTCTGTAGCCCAGGCTGTCCTTAAATGTATAGCAATCTTTCTGCCTCAGCCGCTAACATTCTAAGATTACAAACATGAGCCACCACATCAGGCTTTGTTTATGTCGCTTATTCATGATAAAGTTTCATATTCTAGGTTGCCTGCTGGAAAGGACTCTGGCAAGGACGTTGGGATTGCCCACAGCAATTTTTTTATTTATAATCTTGTGTTACTTTACTTTGTCTTCCTTCCTTCCTTCAAATCTTGGGAAACCTTGTAAGATAATTATAGAAAGAAAACGAATATAGCAACCCCCCCCTTTCTTATACTTAAAAGAGCATCATTTCAATTCCTTTCTATGCTATATAAACTTCACTGAAACTATGAATTGCATTACCAAAAAGTTTTCCTATTGCATGATTTTGAAAATTATTAAAAAATGACAAAGGAAACTAAATTCTCATTTGAAAAGTAAAGAGCTAATAACAAAGAAGGCAAGTTCCCAGGATGTGCTGAAATTATACTGAATGGATTTGAAATCTATCAGGCACTATTTATACCTTTTAATTCATTTTATTTGTTACCTTTATTAATATCCTAATATGTCATTGTAATAAAATATTTAACATAAAAGTCATAATATAACATTTGTATATTTTTATATATTATCAGTAAAATCAACATTTAACAAGAATGTCACAAATACAGCCTTTTTTCACTCCATGTTTTTTACTATAAAGGTAACAGCATATCATTAACATTTATAAAACAGAAAAAAAAACCTAAAATCAATTGAAATGTATGATATTTCCTTTCTGTATTTTGAGTGTGTATGCATATGTATGTGTATATGTTTGTGTGTTTCTATGTGTACAGGTACACATACACACCTGTGTTTGTGTGTGTGTGTGTGTATGTGTGTGTGTGTGTGTGTGTGTGTGTGTGTGTGTGTGTGTGTGTGTGTGTGTTTACGGAGGCCAGACGACAACATCAATTTTTGATATAAGACATCACAGTGGGCTGAACCTCGGCAGGAACTAGGCTGTCTGACCCTCAGGCTCCAGAGATCCATTTTCCTCCACCTCCCCAGCAATGAGATTACAAGATTGCTTTTTGCTTGTTTTTACATGATTTCTAGGGATTAAACCTAGGTCCATGTGATTGCACGACAGGCAGTTGACTGGCTGAGCTTTCTACCCAGCCTTCCTTTCTGTCTTTTGTTCCTGACTTTTGGACCCAATTCTGTTTTAACATTTTTGAGTCATTTTAACGTTTAGGACATCTGGTATCTTGCTCAAGGTTGCCTTTGTTACGAGGCTGCTGTGAAGACTCGATGAATGCATGTACACGAATGTGATTTGTCAGTGGCAGTAGTTCAGGAAGTGTACCCTGAATGTCCTAGCTGCTCCCTAACCATCTAGCCTAGTCAGGTGCAATTATCATATGTAGGTATCGTTTGTATTAAACATTGCTTAAGACTTTGATTTGTTGTTTGGTACCTGAATTGTTTTGGGACAGAACTGCGGGCTGCCTGTGAGGAATCATGCCAGTTCACTGAGTATGTCACATGAAAATTTCAGGTGACATTCATGAGCTGAATCCAAAATTACATGAAAGCCACTGCAGAGGAAGTCAGAATTCCAAGGGGATGAACGTGTTTGGTGTCTTTTGCTATGTGGAAAGCATGATATAAGTTTACAAGACTGAGGACAAGATAGTCATTCCTTCTTTCCCAAATGGTGGATTTGGTATATTCTTAATGTAAAAGAAAATGTAGACTTCACACTAGTATATAGTCATTAAAGAGCAAGGTATAAATATTTGGTAGAGAATCATTTGCATTTATTACGGAATACAGGTGTAGTTATGCTTTGTG